ACACTCATCTTCTCCAAGTACACTGTGGGTTAACTTATACCTTAATTGTTTGCTTTTGAACTGAGCCTACAATGTGATATAGATTTGGGGAAATTTTACCCCTGCAAATTTTAAGGGTTCTGCCTCTCAATTGGGATGACGAACGTTGATGGTTACCTTCTGATATTGACAACGACGTCGTTCAACACTCCAACGTGGCTTGTGATTAAAGTGACTCAGCTCACCAACGTTCCACGTGTGCCCCGTTAGTTTGGCCGTTGGATACCAACTAACAGAAGGACTAACGTGGAACATTTTTTTAAAACGCGAGGACCGAAAATAGCCTTTTTTATTTCGAGGAACCAAAAAGGGCTTCGTGGAATTTGTCAGGGACCAAAAATGGTATTTACTATAAAAAAACACGAACAAATATTCATATTATACTACCACCCCTAAAATAACCAATCTTTCTCTCTACTGAATTATTTTCATTGTTTGCCACTCTTTTTAAAGCTGAACTGAACTCGTCGATTCAGATAAATTAAAAGCTGCAGTCAGTCCAACCATGCAATCCTTAAAAATCATAAACTAAAAAAATAGGGATTTGAACCGGTAAATTAGTAGTGAATGAATAGAACCATATGAATTACTATTTTGGCCTTGCTCGTTTAACTGCCCTGATTTTTTATAAAATAAAAAAGAAAAAATATTTCTCTAGTCACTATAGATAAAGTTATTTTCAGTAAACTCAAAACGACGTCGTTTTGAGGTTATAAAATTAAAATATCACAATGATAAAGACTAATATATGTAACCCTACAATATATTAAAATTACAAAAATACCTTGATTTCCGCTCCAAAACGACATTTTGGGCTTACCGGAGATATCTTATCTTCATTGACTGGAGAAATTCTTTACCCATAAAAAAGTAAATAAACAAATTTGTTGCTAAAAATGCATTATTGTTTGGCTCTTAATTTATTATTATAATTCAGCATCACCCTTATTAATTAACTTGTACAATTTAGGACAAATAGAAATTGTATCGCATAAAAAAATGATTTGGTTTCTACCAGTGGCGAATTCAAAAAATATTATTTATATTCGCACATTTAGTGACGGGGTTCTGCCCCAAAAAAAAATTTTAAGGAAAGTTTTTTAAAAAAAATAGGAGAATTGATGCAAAAAGCTGAATTATAATCAAATTAGTATTTAAAAAGCTTCACAACACATGGCTCGTTTGAAGAGAAAACAAAATGAAAAACCTGAAAGGGGCAGAATTGATGCAAAGGTGGTTGTAGGACAATACATTCTAATCATTTCGGTGAACAATGCTATCCAATGGGATATCAAAGACCTTGGCCTTCAGCTGATAGTTCTTCAAGTAGTTGCACAGAGGAACTAATTAAGAAAGTGATTAATTAGGAGAGTCTGGTTAAACAAAATCTATTGCCAGACAAAAACATTGAAGGATTGGATTCAGCATAAATATTTTAGGACTTTATAACTGCACTTGCACACAGTGGCATAAGTGTAAGTCCGCCAATGGTTCCAACTTGTAATAAAAACCTTTTCCTTTTTTTTATCTCTTCTATTTTACTTATTTGATGTAGGATTAATATAGAATGAGAAGTTTTATCTATTTAAGAATTTTTTTTAAAATTATTAATATGAGACTATATATATAAAGAGAACTAATATATATATATATATATATATATATATATATATATATATATATATATGATTTTATGTTTGTTATGTTACATGATATAGCATACATTTTCCACACACACAATTAAGAAGAGAGAGGAGAGAGAAGAAAGAAGAGAGAGAAATCAAGGGATGGGATCCACATAAAATTGTGTGTGTAGGAAATTTATGTTACATCATGTAATATAACAAACATAAAACCCATATATATATATATATGTGTGTGTGTGTATATATGGATAAGATCCTTTGACATCAGAGTTAAATTTTGAAATTTGACACCAAATCCTAACCTTTAATTTTCGTCAATCATCGGTTATCATTTATTGGGAATCAAACTATTTAATTAATATTAATTACCAATAAATGATAACCGTTAATTGGCGGAAATTAACGGATATGTACGGGTTCATTTTTCCTGCAGTCTTATCTACATTGAACTCAAAATGACGTTATTTTGGGGTGAAAATAAAGGTATTTTTATAATTATAATTTATTCAGGGTTATAACAGTCTTTTTCATTATAATTGTTTAACCTAAATGATGTTGTTTAAGGAGTGAATGTAGATAACTTTTTTATAGTAATTATAGAAATATTAAAGCTTATATATATATATATATATATATATATATATATATATATATATATATATATATATATATATATATGGGCTTATCGTTTCTCAAGCTGCTTGAGATAATCTTATCTCCGGCTACTAAACCGTACAAAGATGGATCAATGGTGATAAAGGAAGAGAGAGAAAAAAGAAATCATAACCATTCAAAGGTGAATCAATTAATGTAAGTAAATAAATAAACAAAACTACGTAGTTTTGAGGTAGCCGGAGATAAACTTATCTCAAGCTGCTTGAGAAATGTTTTTCCTATATATATATATATATATATATATATATATATATATATATATATATATAGGGGAAAACATGTTTAATTCCAAATAATGATAACAGTTGATTGGCGAAAATTAACGGTTAGAATTTGGTGTGAAATTTCAAAATTTGATCAAAAAGATCATATTCCATATATATACACTACAATAAAATGGGTAAATACCGACGGTTTATCTGAGGCGGTTTCAGCTAAGCCGCCTCCAAATATCATATAAAGGCGGTTGTGAAGGCGAATGAACAAATTGCCTTAATATTGAATAAATTCTAAGGTAGTTATCTTAAAACCGCCTTCAAATTAGACATCTAGAGGCAGTTGTAGAGGCGTTTTTCAAGTTCGCATCAAAAGTAATGATATACCGAGGCGGATATGTCAAACCGCGTCCTTGTTATCAATTAGAGGCGGTTTCAGAGGCGTTTTTTAGGTTTTATATATACTCATATAGAGGCGGTTTTGAAGGCGGTTTTTTTTAACATAAATATTTATAGTTCATGTTTATATTGTAATTATATATCTATTTCATATTTTTTACCATATTTTTCCCATTTCATATTTATGTAATTGAAAATTGACACAACATAATTATCTCGTGTTATTTACTCGTAAGTTTAGTTGCTTTGATTCAAAAGTTACTATGTTTAATTTATAAAATTAATTTTAAAAAAATAATTTTCCTTACAATTTAAGTTTAGAGCTATTTATCATTTGGGTGTAGTACTAAGGAAGATCTTTTAACTAAATAAACTATTTGGAAGTTAAAAATAAAATTCTTTTTTAATGTATAAAATCTTTAAAAATCATATGCGAAAACAAATCATGGGGGCAAAATTAGTTGTGGTAGATGTTGTGGCCGAAGCGGTTAGGCCGATGGTGCATGGTTTTGGGGGCCGGGGTGGCAGCAACAATGATGACGTATAGGTGGTGGGAGGTTGGTAGTCTATGAAGCACCTACTCCGACACGACATTTTCGATACGTTCCCAATACGTTCTCGATACGACCATTAATTTGCCGATACGATACAATACGTTTTCGATACGTGTATCAGATATGTTGGGAAAAAAATTCAAAGTATCGGTGCTTCATAGGTGGTAGTGACGATGGTGGCGGCGATGATGATGTGGTGGTGGGGTCAAGGTGGGATGGTAACAGTGACAATATGGTGGTGGCGACTGTGGCAAAGACAGTGGTAGTATAGTGTTGGCAATAAGATTGGTTGGGTTGGGATAAATTTGGAGTTGAAAAAAAACTCATCCGAACGAGTTTATATTTACCTAGGTGGGATGAATATTTGTTAATATGCATTACAATTTTTAAATCATTCGTAGATGAATATAATATAGTTTATGTAAATCTTTGTTGATATGCAATAGAGTTTTTAAATTTAACCCATGAATAATATATGTGTGTGTGTGTGTGTATGTGTGTGAAGCAGATTCCATGCATATGAAGCAAATCAACAAGCATAGATAACCAAACAAACAAAGAAACCAACAAAAGAAAAACGATTCTTGGAAACTGGATTGATTTACATGAACTGAGCGAACAACGAACCCTTCCCGTCTTGCATATTCATCATAAAAATACTTAGCAGAATCTTCATTCAGTTTTCCATGTATCGGAGGTTATTTGAATTTTGAATTTAATGTAATAGGAGTTGATTGTGATTTGTATTTAATAGGAGCTGATTGTGTTTTGTATTTAATAGGACGCAATCAGCTCCTATTAAATACAAATCGTAATCAACTCCTATTACATTAGATTCAAAATTCAAATAACCTCCAATACCGTATTTGTCTCATTCAATCAATGCTTTCACGCTCATTTGGGATATTTAATAGATTAAATATAAGTGTTAATCGACTAAATCAATTAAGAGGGATATTTAATTGATTAAGAGGGAGATTTAATCGATTAAATCTTCAAGTCAACCATTTTTTCAAATTTTGACAATTTAATCGATTAAAGAGGGGCAGATTGGTAAATAGTTTTGTAATTTTCAATTTTAAAAAACGGAATACATATTTGATTTATGATTTAAATTAAAAAATCTAAAAAATTATTATTAATTAGGAAAATAAAAAAAAATTGATTATACTAAATTTTTTTTGCCGCGATTCGAACCCGCACCAACGTTGTTGAGCGTTTGCGAGTAAACCACCAATCCAACTTTAGATTGCAATATCGAGTTACAATATTTGTTTGTTATTTAAAACATTGTCCTTTCACTTTCATTGGGTGGACTTGTTTCCCTCCTTGCAAAAATTGTTTTAAGTATATTGCAATATTGTCGACTCTTAAACTTGAAAGTAGTGATGTTTAAGTATATTCTCTTCTCTCTGAATTTGCCCTAACGCTTTTTGTTGAAGGACCTCAAGGCCAAGCTTGCCTTGCTCCCTCGCTAAGGTCACCATCGGTGGTGTAAAAATAACTGCTTTTCTTTAATGGTTTCTTTATTTGTGTTTGTGTTTATGCTTTCTTTTCATTTGGGCTTGCAGAAAGGTGGTGAACTAGGAATGTCCGGTAATACCCTAACCCTAACCCCCAAAAATGGGGTTGTCTTGTTTTGTATCTATTAACATCGCTGGTAATCAATCAATCTGCATTGTGCGATGTTAAAATGGACGACTTTGGCATTCTCCTTTTTCAATTTCTCAATAACCAGACAACGTAGATCTCTATTTGGCTTTTGGATTTTCACCTGTTTCAATGTTCCACCAATTATAAGCTATTACGGTAATGAGATGGCATGACAAGTCCCTTGATATTTTTTATGATTAAATTATTATCATTAAAAAAAATTTGGTGGAAGATTGAAATCTTTTGTATAGGTACAACTGTGATTATGAAGGTGAAACAAAGTTTTTGAATTTACTTAGCAGAGGTTAAACCGTTTTGCTTGAGCAATTCTTTCAGTAGTAAAGATTAGACAAATTTTTGAATGTGTACTTTTTTTGATTTTCTGTGTGTTTTGCTTTAAGTTTCTGAATTTTACTGTCACTGTTTCTGCTTGTTTGTTCAGATTATGCTTTGCTATGGTGTTTTGGTAGTTGCTGATCACCTGTGTCTATTTTTTTTTAAATGAGACTTACATTATCAAATGGTGAGCTGTATTTCCTTTTCATATTGTTATACCTTCCATGTGACAGTTTTGTGTCCTTTTAAAAATGAGGGTGAAAATTTCAGGGATGAGCTTTATATAAAAAATTGTATAACTCATCCTTGAATATTTGACTCCCAATTTTAAGCACATACCATATTGGCTGTAGGTGTGAACCAAAAATGTCTTTAGCTTATGAAAGCTGATATAAAATATCTATGGTCTAGCTTAACCAAAAGATTGAATTTACTTTTGGGTTTTCTTTGCTGTTATTTTGTGAATGTTTGATACATGATATGTCCATGCAATTGAATTTACTTTTGAGTTTTCTTTGCTGTGTTGATTTGTATAGGAATTTCCGTGGTTAATTCTTTTGTATGCAACTGATTTGAGTCTCTTCAGAATGTGGTATAAAACTATTTTCGAAGAGCTTTGCTAAATTGAGTACGCTTGTGCTCTGCATTTGTTGTTTGTCTTTAGCAGTTTTTAAGGTTTCTTTGGGGGTCAGTTAGTTTGGTAATTGAGAAGTGAAAAAAACTATTTGGATTTTGTCCTTTGGTTGATTGGTACTCTAAAGAGTTTAGTTACAATGGTCTCTATTTTTGTGCAGGCATAGTAGCTAATTCAATTGGGTTTAACTATCATTTTGCATTGAATGGAACACTTCAAATTGTATGCAACTTTGTCCATTAGGAAGCTAGAGTAAAGAATGTATGTATTTTATTTGTGAATGAGGAAGTTATACATGCTATTTGATTACATGTTTGATGTTGTATTGTAGGACCAATTACTAACAGAGATGGAGGAAACATCTTCTAAAGAAGAAGCCTATGAACGTGTCTTTGGGAAGGAGCATCCTGGACGCGTTAGAGGAATGGGGTTCGGGGTGGTTCCAACTCAAATGCGTAAGCGTTGTGGTGATTCTGCATCATCTTCTAGTGCCGGTCCTTCGCAAGCAGAGTATGATTCGCTCAAAGAGGAACTCGACACTTTGAAAGGGAAAATGAGAGAAATTGATACCTTGAAAGCACAAATGACATCAATTATACAACAAATTGGTGCTCAACAACCTTGTCATATAAATGAGGTAAATCTTGGGTCATAATCAAATGGATACTTTGTATTGCACAATTTTCCTTGCAAATTTGTTTCCACTGGTTGATGAAATTAGATGACTGACTTATCTGCATTTGAATATTCATTTCGTATTCCATATGGGTCATGTAGTTTAAACTGTGTTATTGGAAGATTTTTTAGTGAGCAACACACACACATGTGTGTGTGTGTGTGTGTATATATATATATATGCATTCTCAACTAATAAAGAACAAAACTGGTGAATGGTACGTTTGCAATCATTAGTCCCCAGTTTGTTTTTTCTTTGAAGCTATTAAAAAGGCACACCTCAGTAAATAAATAAATTACTGATGTTTCTTTCACTTTATTTTCTCGTAAAAAATATTAGCTGGTAAAACTTAAGAGCCTAGATTAAGATTCGAGTAGCTAACCTAAAATGTACTCATTGCTGGAGAATAGTTCATCTAGTACTCTTTATAAATCTGTACCACCACAATCTTCAAAGAGACCAGTTTCTTCTCAGCGCTAAAGAGCATTTCAATTGCATCATTTTCTTTTGCACTATCTGAGCCTTAACTTCACCAGCACAAGCACTGTAAACTCTCACTAACACCTCAACGAAGATTAGACAGACAAAGAAGCTTTTGCACCCAAAAGAAAACCATTCAAAAAATACCATTCTCTAATCAAAACATTACCTTGTAATTGAATTAACCGTACATGTGTGTCAGTGTGTGTAATAAAACACAAAACTTCTAAAAAATTATTACATTAACAACAACCCCACTTTCTCATTCTCAAGCAAACCAAACATATAATGAATATTAAAAAATAAGCCATGTTAACGTGGGGAATTGACATGGACAGAGGCATGCAAGAAATATAATCCATAAAAAAAATGATACATAGACAACAAAAAACGGAGGGTGAGATGGTTCTCAAACAGATGAAATTAGAATTACAAACAGTAGTAGCCAAACATGCTCGGAATAGACTATGAGAAATAATTTCTTTTTTAACCATTTACCTGGGGTTGAGCCTTGTGCTCTCCATTCTTCATATTCTGTCAGCATATATATAATATCATAAAGTGGAAAAAATAAAAAATTAAAGGTTTGCATTTTAGAGTATAATTTGTTTTATCTCTTAACCATGTTTTAATCCCCAAGTGGATCAACAGGGACCTCACTAATTAAAGTATTAAAACATTGTCATGCTAATTACCATGTTGTAATGGAAAAGTTTGCCTCTCACTGGAACTGGAGGGTTTAGGCTATGTTATTTTTGCCAATATGATTTACAGTTATGATAGTAATTTTGTGTGGGTAAAATGGGTGAACAAGACATGCACTCATTTTAAATCAGCTGGTTGATGTAGCATTTAATGCATGTTTTCATTTTTTTCAATGTATCAGGTTACAGATTTGGGCTCTCCAGGGGTCAGAAGATCTTCTCATGGTAGTCATAATCCACATAGTGAAGGACCAGATTCATCACCTTATATTCCATCTCCACCAGCACAACCTTGAATATTTTATTTAGACATTGATTTTGGACAATATTGTTGTCATTATCATAGGGATTTGTTCAAGGTTATTTACATAACAGTTGAGACTTTGTCCATACGTTGTTTAACATATTTTGTTCTATGATTTTGGATAATGCATGCATATATTCACTTTTAATCTTGTGATAAATTTATATATCTTATGATTTTAATTGATGTCTTTTAAAATTGTATGGATATGTATGCTCAAATGCAAAAATTCAATTATTAAATCATTAGAAAAAAATAATTAAATGCACAACGTATTTTAATAAGTAACCTTACATTCACAAAATTAAAACAAATATATAAAAATATTAATTTTATATATTTTGGCGGATAATAAAACGATATTGTATAAGAATGTCACAACTCATTGGAGGCGGTTTATTATCAATTGATTCCGCCTCAGAATTACATTTGGAGGCGGTTCAGTGAACCGCCTCAGAATAATATTTAAGGCTTGCACAGGCGTCAGTAACTAACCGCATCACTAACCGCCCCTGAATATATTATTGGAGGCTCAGAAAGCAAATAAGTGATTTATACTGAGTCGTTTAAAACCGCCTACAGAACCACCTCTGAATGTATTTATGAGGCAGTTATATTAACCGTCCTTGAATACAAAATTGATTCATGTTCTGATAATTGAGGCGCTAAAGGCCGCCTACAGAACTGCCTTTGTATATCGTAGGCGGTTATACCAGAGGTCCGTGAAAACCGCATCATATTGTCTCTCGACGGTGGTAAACTCGACGGTTCTATAACCGCCTCCCTGTGCTTTTAGAGGCGGTTTAAACCGCCTCCGAATGCCAAATTAACCGCCTCTAAATGACAATTTTCTTGTAGTGATATATTCAATAAATATATATATTACATGCATATATACAAAAATCTGGGTTACAGTTTAAAAAATAAAAATAAAATCTGGTTTACATGAAAGTGTGATAGTTTGGATAGGATTTAAACTCTTAACGGACAAAGCTCATTCATTTTCAAATTAGTATTAGTTCGCTCTTATCGTCTAAAATATGTGGAGCTCATACAATGAGTCCAAAAGAACTACAATACAATTATTACTGTTCAAAACATTATATTTTAAAATTATAAAACATTTTTAATTAGACTTTATAATGAAGTCTGAAAAAACATTTTTTATTTTCTGATTAGTAATATTGACACGCATACACGCGCGCACATAAACACACTGAGTTGTTGTGTGTATTTAACCTAATGAAACTGTTGACACTTGAACTTTTTTTTTATTTGGTGTACGACCAACTGAGCTTACTTTATTTACTAGGCTATGTGAAATGGGTTTAACCGTTTAAGATATTTGGGTGATGTCATGGAGATAAGTCATCGCCAGCTCAGCAATTTTATATTACGTACGTGACCCTTTTCGCTTGAATTAATATAATGAACAAATGCACCAGAGAAAGTGGGGACATGCATAATTAATATTTGAACTCAAAGCAACTAATTCATGCACCATCCCTGTTGGTTAAATATAAGATTTGATCAAATATCAACCTTGATTAAAGTCAAATGCTATCAAATAAACACACAATTATCTACTTTCATTATTAAAAAAATTAATCAATTTCTTATTTCTGGATACAAAAATTATTCAATTATTATTTTATATTTTTTTCAAAAATAATTGTGTATATATATGACATTAATTAATTGCACAAATTCATATTTAAAACCATTACAACGATTCATAGACCGGGCTTTCATTACTTTCGTCGAAATCAAGCAACCATGGTGAAGGTCGTAGGTCATAGCCACTACAAAATCTATGTACTGGTTTTGGCTGACATATTCATAACTAATTGCAAGTTGCAAATGAGTTTTGTCCGCATCAAGATACAATTATATATTAATTACCTTAGTTTTCAATATTGGTTATGCAACTGTCATCTGATCTTCAACAAATTCGAGACCACAAAAATAACTTATATTATAACTATAATCATGTTGAAAAGAAATACTCCTATAAAGACAAACCCTAAAAAATTATATTAAAAAAAAAAACTAATTTATTTACAAAAGCTTTCTCTCCTGTCCCTCCATTCTCTGAGTACTGTCACGTCTGCTGAGTCTGCTCCATTATCAAATTTTTTTTTTGGTGTTGATAGTTTAGGGTTCTACAATGAGGCTTATTTCATTTTTGTGCATTCTCTTTGAAGACCTTTGGGAATTTCTGAATTTCATTGTTGGGGCAACAACAATGACTTAGAAGAATCAAGTAATTAAAGTACAATGAACGCGCCTACTATTTTTTTTTTATTCTATGATTCTACTTACTTATTTGTGGTAAGTTAATTTTTCTAAAGTATTTCTATGATCTGGACAAGGAAAGAGATATGTTAAAATATATAAAATCATTAATGTAGCTTCATCCAAAAGCTTAAACTGTTGGGTTGAATTGATTTTTAACATAATATATTATTCAGTTTTGACCCCAAAAGTACTTTCATGATTCATACTTTTTTGACAATTCATCCTTCTTGAGACTCATATTGTGATTTGAGTGAACCCTTCCGCGCAACAAATCTATGTTCTGGTTTTGTATGACACATTTGCAAATGGGCTTTGACGTCTTCGTCAAATAATATAAGGGGACGTTTGACAGAGGAAAAAAAAAATTTAACCGAGAATCTCGATTTTCAAAAAATGATAAAAATATTCAGTTTATGATAATATTTGAAAATTTAAAATTTAAAAAAATTTATTTTTTCGAAAATCCTACAAAATGTCACGTTCCAAACGGCCCCTAAGAGTATCATTAATTATATATTTGATCTACGATTCTATCTTTTCATTACCTAAGCGATTGGGTGAAGCAGTTGTCAAGTGTGCTTGAGAGTTGAGAGGCTGACAAGTACAAACTGTACCCAAAAAATACGATATTAAACCTTACAAAATGATTTTGATTGAAGTGTTTCATAAGATATGAGATTTAAATCTATATATAAAATATAGCTAAATATGTATCGTAATAAATTTACATGTAGGGTACACATCTTTCGCTAGCAGCCAAATTTAGAATTAACAAAGCTTATGCATGCATGACAGCTGTTTGACTATATAAAAATTCATGAACCTTTGCAATTGTAGTTTAGTTTGTATGCACTTATTGAAAGAAGGATAATTACGTGAATATGCGCGTCAACCAATATAATATTAGCAGGACCCCAATAAACTAGTAAACGAACTGCATGACGCGATTGGAGGTAATATATAATTAGCCGAAAGCCAGAAACCCCTTTGTTATTCGATTATACATAGCTACCTATTTATAGCTACCTACATAAATAAAATATGCGTGCAAGTGCACGCTTAGAGATGTAATAAAATTGAGTATGAAATTATTTATAAATTTTTATGGAAAAAATATTTGTCATTTTAATGAACATGACTTTGTGTCATTTTAAAATGAAACATACATGTTTTGGTATATATTCTCTTCCATAAAATTAGGGGGGCAATGGCGAACCAAGGAAATTTTTTTATATCCGCACATTTAGTGGCGGGGGTTCAGGGGCAGCGCCCTGAAAATTTTTTTGTAAAAAAAGTTTAAATCAACGCTTAAACCCGCTCATAATCTAGTTGCTTCCATAACAAGCTGCAGGCAATAGTTTGACCAATTATTTTCCTCCCTAAATCTTACCAATCCTCCAAAACAAATATAAGAATATACTCCAGTACATTCATACATCATCATTCTATTTTATGGTGATGAATAAAAAAGTCAATACTACCTGTACAGAAGGCAAATAAAACAAAGGATGAAGAGAGCATGAGAATGGGTATGTGATAGAGGAGGAAGAATAAGTTTTCTCTCTAATCAATTTGTGTTGCGACGTTGTTTTAATCATCTTCGTACGTTGTTAAGTTGCTAACTAATATAACAATAAATATCATTTTTGGTCCCTAACAAAAAATTTGGTCCCCACTTTAGTCCATTATGAAATTCAAAGTGGTCCCATTTTGATATTTTTGAGGGATTAATGTAGGTCTTTTTTGAATTTGTGAGGGACCACGATTTTAACTAAATTGATCCAATTTAAATTTTTTAGAGACCTCGAGACTATTTTTTTGTAAGGGACTAAAATGGGGATCATATTTTTTGCTAGGGACTTAAAAATTTATTTGCTCCTAATATATTTATTGAACCAAGAGACAAATAAGAACCTGACACCAAGAAAAAGAAAAAAAATGAAATAAATTTTTTTATGTCTGCACTTGCGGGCATTTGCCCGCAAGTGGATCCGCCACTTGGTGGGGGGGGGGGGGGGGGGAGCAAAATATTGTGGAGAAGAGAAAATATAAAAAATCAACAAATATGCACCAAAACATGATCATTTTACTTAAAATGACTAAGTAAAATGACAAAGTTATGCATTTTAAAATAATAAATGTTTTTTTCATTTTTATATAATTATTTTTCTTTTTATAAAAAATTAGTTCATAAAATAATATTAAAACTTTTATAATTAAGTGACTTAAAATTTTAACTTCTATTTTCCTAAATAAAAAAGGAAAATCATATTCTCATGACATGAGATTGTTTTCCATGTTATACTCAGATCGAATAATGTGTCATTCATTTTTTCTTGCCACTTCATTTATGTTAATAGAACATAGAACTTCTATCATGAGAGAAGTAATTTCCATAAACAAAATTGAATTTAACTAAAAACAAATGAGCCTATGCTTACAGGTTAAGCTTTTGAAGAAATTGCTTCATCAGAACACACAGCTAGCCAACTAATCCAAGTCCTTGTTTGAGATAAATTAAAGTGTAGTTTGCTGCCCCAACCAATTGCCAAATGGGGGATGCTTATGCTTCCAAGTTCCAAGTTTGGTCAGGGCATATTATTGTGCTCCCTAAAGGTTTATTATTGTTAATCCCTAAGTAATTAGCTTTGCCTTGTCTTATGTCCTAGATTGTGAGTAAATCTCTTCTGCAAAAGATGTAGATATATTCTTACCAAGACGGAAAAAAATAGAAATATGAAAGGAAATAATCATAAAAATAAAGATAATGTAAATATGTTACTTTTTTATATTTAGTAAAGGATATACCGAGTGATCAATCGATTCATCAGTACTGGAAATATTTTCATAA